CTTCACAGATCACAAACCCTTAACCTATGCTTTTCAACAGCGTTCGGATAAAGCTTCTCCTCGTCAAATGAGAGACCTAGACTTCATAAGGCAATTTTTAACAGATATCCGTTATATTGAGGGTTCGTAGAACATTGTGCAGACACCTTGTCTCGTATTGAAGAACTAGCCGTTCCTTCGCCAAAAAACTTTGCTGCCCTTGCGGATGAACTACACCGTGATTCAGAACTACAAACGCTCTTGAAAAGCAAATCTTCCACCAATCTCAGCTTGCAGCCTATGCAGCTGTCACTTGGAAAATCACTTTATTGTGATGTTCGGGATTCAAGATTTCGACCTTATGTTCCCTCCGGGTTTCGCCATGTCATTTTTAGTCAGTTACATCGTCTATCACATCCTGGCATCAAAGTTTCGAGGAAACTGATACAGCAACGTTTCGTATGGCCTAGCATGCAAAAGGACATAACCAACTAGACACGTTCGTGCTTGGAGTGCCAAAGATCAAAAATTGTCAGACACACCACTAGCCAACTTAAAAATTTTAATTTTCCCTCATCTCGCTTCAATCACGTGCACCTCGAGTTGGTCGGGCACTTATTTTTATTAATAATAATATAATACATGAATACAATTAATTACTATGTATACATTTTTTTTTTACCTTGGATGAAGCACATTTATCATTTACTTTAAATGCTAGATGATTTAGGGGATCTTGTCCCATCGTTGATTGTAAATATCTGAAAATTTATTTTAATTTGCTGAACGAACGTTCATAACTAGCATTTGATAATGAAATAGTAAGTAGTATTTGAAGTGCGACTCTTAGGTTTGGAAAAATGAAATAGTAAGTAGTATCTGAAGTGCGACTCTTAGGTTTGGAAAAACATTTTCTCTATAGATGTGTAACTGAGTTTTAGGTTCCGTTTCTTTTCTACTGCGGAGTAACGTCATGCAGTCACATTCACTGCTGAAAACAATTAGGAGATATTGGGGGTTAGGTATGAAATAACCATATAATCGATAACCTTTTTGAACAAAAGCAAATAGAAGAGATTATAAAGAAAAATTATAACGTTTACAAAGTTGGGAATATGCAAATTAAGTCTGTGAAGTCGAAAACTATGCGATTTAGATAAGGCGTAAGGAGCGACCTGCAGTATTCCTTTTGTAATAGGACATTAAAACCCTACAATTGACATGCGTTGAATGCTTCGTAGCAGTGAATATACGATGTCTCAGCAAGATGACTTAGTTCGAATCGGTAGCCAAGAAGGCTCATCAGTCGTTTACAGGAGAGTCAAACGCAATCCATTGTAGCGGAAGCGTTAGGATTTCCCCAAAATGTCATTTCCACATTATGGAATTCGGATTTTGGAAAACTAAATATGTTTGAGAAATTCCGGGACAAGGTCGTGTGTTATCGTTTTAAAATAAAAGGCAGGAGATATACATGCATTTCATTTAAAAAAATGAAAATATATCTCTACTTTGGAGAAATAAAGTGGTCAGAAAGAACGTTTTGGTTGATGTACTGCAAACATTTTATTACACATTTTATCAGGCAAATCAATAAATAAATAATTAATTTATATTACAATAGTTATTAATTTTAAATATATTTTCCAGAAATCGATCAAAATAAAAACTGAAATTTTCCGGAAAATCTTGTTTGGAAACCATTTGGCGCCCCACTACGAGCGGCGCCCGGGGCATCATGCATCCCCTTGCCCCCTCGCTACGTCACTGTTTCATTCACTGCATTTTTTTATTCGTATTAAACTGTTATAATGATAACAATAGAATTTTTTTTTAATAAGAACGGATTAAATATTCGTCTTTCTTTCTTAGTGGAAAATTTGGTATGTATGCGACAGAGGATGTGAATGGATTAATAACGTATTACCGAGGTACCACTGGAATATTTCGTTCAACAAATTCCTCCATTATGTGAAAGTCTTCTATTATGTATTTTTGAGTAACTTTAAGAATAGTATTTAAGTTTCTTAAATTGGATGTTTTTGCTCATAATTGTGTTATTGTAAGTGGTCTTCCATTTTTGTAAGAAGATTCGAATTCAGTATCAAATTAACTTTAAAAATTTATAATTCCTATATACATTTTAAAAATTATGCTGTTTCAGTAGAGTTGAAATATAAGAAACAAACTTTTTGATCTACTAGATCAGGTCTTAATAACCATCGTAAGTTAAAAATAATGTAATAACCATGGACTTAGACACTTTTTTTTTTAAATTATTGAATTACCCCATTTGAAGCGAAAACATATGGTTAATATACACTCTTTTTCAAAAAAATTGAAGCACCATGAAGGAAGTAGTTGTTTTTGATGAAACTGAATATGTGTATAGCTCATACACAGATAATGAAATGATTAAAAAATCAAGGTGATAGTACCTGTTCACGGCTCACAATCACCCATTGAGTGTTCAAATTAGTAGTTGGTCGAACCACCCCTGGCGGCAATGCACGCTTGAATTCGTCGAGGCAAGGACTGGTAGAAGCTACTACTGTCATCCTGCCACACATTCTGCCAGGCATTCCTCAGTTGTCGCTCCAGATTTGCGATATTTTGAGGTGCCCGAATCTGTCCTACTATGTCCTATTATGTCCCTACTATGAATGTGCCCTACTATGTCCCAGATATATGTTTGATTGGTGAAAGTTCTGGTGACCTTGCTGGTCAGGGAAGAGTATCAACCGCAAGGGGATAGTCCAGAGATATGCGAGCGGTATGTGACCTGGCATTATCTTGTTGAAAAATAGCCCCAGGATGCCATGCCATGAAGGGTAATCCAACCGGCTGCCGGATGGTATCACCATATCGTTGAGCTCTGAAAGATATACGGAGGATGACTAAAGATGATCTGCTGTCATAAGAAATAGCGCCCTGCACCATCACATTAGGGGTTATAGCTGTATGCCTTTGTAAAACAAAGGCTGATGAGGATCGCTGGCCCCGTCCTCTCCAGACACGAACACGGTGGTCATCTGCTTCAGGAGTGAAGCGGGATTCATCGCTGAACACTATACGATGCCAGTCTGATGGCAGTCATGATGATCGGCTGCGATACCACTCCAGACGACATCCCCGAATGTTGTGCGGTCAAAGGCAAACGTCTTAAAGGCTTCTGTGAACGTAACTCCGCTTCAGACAAGCGCTGTGAGATTGTGGACGGTACCACGGGAGGTATAAACGTGGCTGTAGTGTGTTGAATAGTCGACAATGATACCGTTGGGGCGGTTTGGGCCTGGCGAACAACCATCCTATCTTGCCTTGCATTTGTGCTCTTTGGCCTTCCAGAGCCTTTATTTCGTCAACAATTTCCTTGTAGCAACTATTGCTGCCAGTATCTTTGCACAAAAGTGTCTGTACGCTGCAGATGGCGGCCCATTGCTCGGTATGACCACGCAACCCTACAATGTGACCACGTTTGAAGTCGTTTAGTATTTTGTAAAGTCTTCGATATCGTCGTAATGGCATCTTTAGTTGCTTCTTTAAGGAACTGCAATGGCAGCAACAAAACAACAACAACAAACAACAACAACAACACAACAAAAAAAAAAAAAAAAAAAAAAAAAAAAAAAAAAAAAAAGATAAATTTGCCGCCTCTGTTAATGGTTTTATACTTTTCGAATTTCGCACTAGAAATGCGCGCTATGATCGCAATTCCTGTTCATTTGCCTTTCAACTTTGATCATTTGCATGTTCGATCAAGATGTTTTTGCATCCTAAATTTCGTCACAATCGCAAAAGTCCTTCTTGGTGCTTCGATTTTTTTTGCAAAAGAGTATATTATAAACTTCAACAGTTCTCGTATGTGTTTACTTTCTTGCACGAAGTAAAGGAAGTATTGAAATCGCGGAAAGTTTCGGGAATCATATTTCGACCGAACTGCATATACACACAGAATAAAGGACTTTTGCTTCCAAAACGGATTGTAAAATGGACTTAAAATTGATTCAAAAGGGATTTTTAGTGACGTCTATTTATAGGTACGTACATAAATATTTATGTATGTATCTCGCATAACTCAAAAACGATTAGCCCTAGAGCGTTGAAATTTTGTATGTAGGACAGCTATAACATCTCCTTTTTTATTGCAATAGGCAGAACTAAACTTTTGTTTTAAATAACAAAAATTTTCAAGTTGGGGGAATGTCAAATAAAAAAAAAATATTTTCCACAAATGAAGAAATTTAACTTTTAATACTATCTTCCAGTTCTTGTACTTAAGCCTGGGAAAATTTTTAACTCCTTTTGAAAAAATAAAGTTATAAGAAGTTTGACTCCCCTACGAAAAATTGATCGGGATATTTGATTTAACAATTTGCAATTTTTGATGTCATTTTCAACTTGCCTTAAGAAATCAGTTAAGGAAGAATAATTCGAGAAAATAAGTTTAAATGAAGTGTAGCAAAAAGTGTGTATAATTTAATAGGCCGTACAGGAAAGTTATATGGTTTCCATATCAGTTTTTTTTATATGTGCATTAATTATTAAATTTATGCTTCTTGTTATTCCTTTTTGTACAGAACAGAACATTTCATTGCCCGATTTGTATTCTTTTGTATTTCAAAAGCTTGGAAATTGTTTTAAAGGTCGGGGTAATCTGCATTACTTTTTTCCCTTGCATTTTTAAAGAAAAAAGTGTTCATTAAAATTTGAAAAATCGCTTTAGGTACACAGAACATGAAAACATAATAAATAAATAAATTTGCTTCCAGAATACTATTAGAAGAATGTTAATAAGGAAATGAAATCTCCCACACCGTTATATAATGAAGGAGAGAGGAGGGGAAAAAAAAATGACAGCAAAAACAGTCTTATTTTTGTAATGAAAAAAAGATAGCGACTCCCAGCAGCTAATGCTATTTACATGGCGTCGAGGAAACGAAATAAGGCTAACCGCCCGCAATTCTTTTCCTCGTGACGCAACGTCCTGCGTAAGGCTTAAGCTCGCCGGAAGTGACAAAACACAGCAGGCCTTGTTTATCGTCTGCGCGCCGTTCGCGTTTGTAATGCCACTTCTCGTCATTTTTTTGCTTTTATGCCTATAGTGAACCGTGTGTAATTGTTTGAGGATGCAATTCGGATCTCAGCCGTAAAGAACTCCCAAGTGGCGATGAAATTTTCTTGATGTTAGTGATAATTCGGGCCATATATTTCCCATGTGACACAAGAGGAATAAATAGAATGCAGAATGCACTGAACGTTACCACTTCAGGATGCTGCTCTTTTTTCAGAAGTAAACTGCCAGCGATTGCTTTGGATTTCAACCTTTCCTTCCTGCAAAGTGTTCCTGGCATTTTCAAAATTGCACATACTGTAAGTTATATTTTTTGTTCTAAACTATTATAATTGACAGTATGATATATTTTTAATATATAAGAAATAATATATTATAAAAATTTATATGAAATGTTAAAAAAATTGTAGTTTTATTAGGATTATTTAAGAGAAAACAATAATACGTAATAATCGGGAAAATAAATTTTTCGATTAAATTATTGGTACTATGTGCTATCTAAGATAATTACGAATTGTTTCCAGTTCTTTTACAATTTTATTCTTTTTTTAATCCTCTGCTGCTTTTGAGAGGTGAATTTATGGAATGTTTTTAAATCAAAAATCTGATTAGTAAAATTCTGAAACATATTATTAATAATACTTTTGACACAAAAATAATTCAAAATCTTACTGCAAAGTATTTGAAACGATTATTTCTAGGGAAAAGATATTTGGAATATTTAATTTATCATTACGTCTTCCCTTCCCCCCCCCCTCCACCAAAAAATTAAAATTGGATGAGCAGGTGGAGGAAACAATTGGATGAGAGGAAATTAAGCTCATGCAGAAACCTCTCGGTTATCCCCCCCGAAAAAAAAAAGATGAGGAAGCAAACCAGCTGGAAAGAAGAAAGCATTATGTTACAAACTTTGGTACAATATAAAACAGAAGGAAGTTACTTCGTGAAAAAAAGGGTGTAATGGAAAGTGTTGTTACCTGAGGAAAAAGATTCATCAGGAAGGCAGTGCAGGCGATACACTACCTCAAGAAAGGTTATAGTGAGTGTTATGATGTTGATGATAATAATAATAATAATGCAATAATTTAGAGTATCAGTACAATTGATATTAAAGTAATTAATAATGAACACATAATTGTTTCTGTTAATAATTTTCCTGGTATGTCGGATAAACGAAGATCGGATAATTGAGACACTTAATACATTTAAGACTGAGCAATTTACTAATTCTCATCAGATTGCAAATATTTTCCCGAAAAATTAATTTATAATTTCCGTAGTAATAAAAATGGATTCATAATACTATATAATAATAATTAAAAGATTTTTTAAAAATATTTTTAGTGTAATCACTTCAATTTTTTTTTAAATTATGGTCGGAACTCCTCCAATAAGTTAAGTATTATGGACATTCTGGTAAAATATATTATGTGTCTTAACTTTGATTACCCGCCACTTGTTATGCAATTTCATGCGTAACTAGGTGTTGGCTCACAACGATTTGTATCACCTCGTGTATTAGTGATATGTTACATTTCTGTAATATAACATTACTTCCTTTTTTTGACGCAGTTTTACTGTGAAGAGGATTTTAGCACAGCAGGGAGCGTGGGACTACACCTGTCCAATTGTCAAAGTTGACGATAAAGTATTGGTGTTCCCGTCTTCGTTATTTGTCACCTGCAGTACAACATACAGTGAATGTTAATACTTTTTTTTTTTATTTCTTATGGCAGATTACAAAGACAATTGTAGACAGAACAAAAAGGATGGAAGAAAACAGCAAAACTAGAAAAAAAAAAAAAAAAAAAGTACACAGTATAATATATGAATCTATTTTATGTTTCGCCTCCCAGTACTTCTCGCAGAGTGATCCAGAAAAGCGCAAGGCAACGAGTCAGATGTGAGGCATTTGCTTCCTCATGAAGTTTGCACAATTTACAAATTGGGATTGGGATAATGTTTATTTGATTCAGATGTTTTGAAAAGGCAATCGTAGCTAGTAACAAGACGAAAGATATCAATAGATTTCTTCCTGGGTCATAAAGGAGGGTCAAAAATTCTGTTAATCCATACTTTATGACTGTTCCTTTCTGTAACGTCTTTCTAAAAAGCTTTTCTGTAGTAATTTTCTATTACTATTTTGGCAGTGTAAAAAAAATGGAATGTGGTTGTCAGTTACTTGGAGAATACTGGCCCCTTTCACTGCCAAAAAATCTCCCTTATCATTTCTATGAAGGCCATAGTGTAAGGGTACCCATTGCATGGCAACTTCTTTGTCCACCTGAAATAAATTTGTTTAGATGCGGCTGACATTTTAAAACACCAACAGACAGTGGTGATTCCAAAGAAGATATGGCTAGAAGAGCAGCTGTAGAGTCAAAGAGTTTGACAACCTTTGAAAAATGTTCAAGTTGACATTGGAGTTGAGATAAGGCCAAGCGTATGGCCGTGATCTCAGCGTCCGAAAGCAGTCCTATTCCTTCCAACAAGATTATAAAATGAAAATAATTTGAAAAAGACGCCAGCGCTTGTTTTAATAGTGCCAGCCAACACAGAGCCATCCGTAAACACATGTTCCATTCACTCTCAGAATATAAAGTATTAATGGTTTCCAAGGACCAGATTTTTAAACGTGGTCATTTGTTTCTTTTTTTGAAAGTTTCGTGTAACAAATTAATTGACTACATATTTTCTTATATCAGTTGGACATCGTGATTTCACAAAATTTTCAGCTTCCTATCTAAGGTTTAGCTGATCTGTGACGGAAAGACTGCTTGAAGAAAACCATTATGAGTCTTGAGTTTTCTCTCTGTCGGTAAAAGGCAAGTATTCTGCAGGGAAAAGCAGTTTGGTTCTCTTAAATTTTGTCCCTTAGGATTAGAGCTGTGTCTTCCGTATTGAATTTAATGCACATATGGTGTGTAGGTAAAAGTGCATCAACTAAGTCGAAGAGCTGGGTAGTGAAATTTTTCGAGTGAATCGATCACTTGATTAAATGCCGCCATAATAGGCTCGCAACAGAGGTAGAATATAGGAGCTGTATGTCAAAGCTAAAAGAGTGGTTCTAGAACAACTCCATTTAGATACAGCACTTCTCTTCGTAAAGCTAGCCTCTTAGTAACGCGTTCTAAAATGATTTCAACATGCTGCTTCCAATTCAGTTTTCGGTTGAAAACGACACCGAAGCACTGAAAGTTGTTGGTTCTCTGTACCGGTGAACCCTAATATAGAAGGTCTAATTTCAGAGACTGGTGAATAAGTGAAAAGGTTTGATACACAGTCTTCTCTAAATTAACTCGTGTAACGGTAGCACACTCGACGTGTATTCGAGAGGTATGGATTCGAATCTCAGCGAGAGCATTGTAAATTTTTGACGTCTCTTGCTTCAGGAAAAAACCTAAGACTCTACATTGGCGCCCGAATTAAAAGAAGGTGGACAATAATTGATCACCACCACGATTTGGCGATTGGGTCCCCTAATCCCCAGTTGCCTTCCAGGATGCCTTTGCGACGTAACGGTAGCACACTCGACGGGTATTTGAGAGGTCCACGTTCAAGTCCCGGCGAGGGATTGCACATTTTTCACGTTCCCATTTTCAAAATAACCTAATGACTTTACGACATTAATACTGCATGACCAAATTAAACGCGAAATTTAGCACCAGATTAGAACGCTAAACAGCCATGTAGAATAATTTTAAATTTTTTTTTGCGGCCAGGAAACATGAAGAATCAACAGTTTCCTTACCGACCATGGAGGTAGGAAGTAAGTTTTACCTCCATGTTACCGACATTCGAACTCTGGATCCAGCACTTCTGGCCTTCTGGCTGTCAGAAGGACGTGCTTTCTATCTTTACATCACGAAGGCACGCAGTAAGGAAGGAGGAAATACAGACGAACTACCAGAAAGTAAGATAGAAGTATGGAAAGCATGCATTATCGTGATTACAGAAGATAGCACAGTACTTTTCTAGATGGCTGAAAAAAGTATGAAATGCAATTGAAAGTACAAAAACGCCCGAATTTGAAATTTGTTTTATTACCTATTTCATATTTTGTAAAAACTTTAATGAATTTTTACTTCCTTGTACGAAGTAAAAAGGAAGTATTGTAATCGCGAAAAGTTTCAGGCAGCATATTTCAACTAAAATATCCATTTTGACCGCTATCGAATGCAATTTAACGATGCTTTTGCGTGATATCTGTACGTAAGGACAGAATGAAATACTCTTTTCCTCCCCCCCAATATATATATTGGGGGGGAGGAAAAGAGTATTTCATTCTGTCCTGTATATTTCATTCTGTATATATATATATATAACTGCTTTAAAATGATTTCTGAAGAGAATTTTTCGTGGCGCCTGTACGAACGTATGTACGTACGTACGTACGCATCTCGCATAATTCAAAAACGAGTAGCCTCAGAACGTTGAAATTTTGTATATAGTACTGTTATAACATGGAGATGTGCACCTCGTATTTTGGTTGCAATCGGCCGCACCAACGTATATATACATCCACTCTGTTACCCGGCTCAGTGATCTCAGGTTCTTTACTCTTATATGTTTGTAAATAGTACATTTTTTGCTTTAAAAATGATTGAATTATGTTGTTCTTATCTTCCGGCTAAGGTTTTTATGCCTTTAGTAAATCTGTATGCAATATTTTTAGAATTATCAACAATTTTAAAGTTGTTTAAGTGCCGCTAAGCCTAATAATTTTTTTGATGGCGGCCATTGCTTGTTTACGTTTGAAACAGCAGGATAGTGGATTTGTTGCCAATCTAGAGAAACTTAGTTTCGCAACAACAAAGATAACCCCTTCATTTATTATTGCGAATTAAATCATGCTTAATCCTTTCTGGAATTTTTTACGAGGAAAAAATTCGAAACACGAAATGTTAAATTACACGAAATGTTAAGAAAACCCTCCTTTGCGCGTAGTGTAAAATCTGAAAGCTTTCAGATTTTTTTATTTTCAGTCTGAAATCACTGGTACCTGCAAGAAATTTTTGTTGGTAACAGTTTGTAATTCAAACGTATTGCCAGCTAAATCTTAAATTTTCAGACACATTTATTAAAAAAAATTCTAATATTGGAATGTTACTACTTGATATTCGCGGCCCCCGTTATTAAAACGGCAGCAAAATTATCGCCAAGTTTAAACTACTCGCATATAGTATGTGGCTACCATATCTCCGCGATTGCTTTTTATATGACATCAGAAGTTTATTTTCCCCACAGGACATCCACGACATGAATTCCGAAAGTTACGACTTAAGATGTCATCGAGCCA